TGAACAGTTTTTCACCCTTAAGTCATGTCAGCAACTGCTAGCCCATAGCTTGTAAAATTTAAAGTGGGCCCCTCATATCCTTATTCAATATTCAGCATGAGGAAAATCTGCAATGCAATATATAGTTAATGCCACAGACACTTAACAAAATATCACCTGTTTAATCCCTTGTCATCTAAATGTGAAATAAAATGGCATGAATGATTACACTCAATTACATGCAATCATCCAGAGCAAATAAGGAGCGTAAGGTACATTCTGTGAAATACTACACTGCTCAAACCACATTTTTAGAAGCATACTGAGCATGCTCTGTGCCAGTAATGGACAGTTCTATCCCCACTCTCTTCAATATTTATATTATAACATTTGCTAGAAAGCTATTAGAGCAAGCCTGCAAGTAATTTCTTACAATATAAATTAGTACAGTATGCATTTTGTAGTCATTTGCAACATAGGTGGCATTTCAATTCCAAACTTGGGAAATTTTATTGTTCTTTGCACCGTGACTGGTTGGAATTGCACAAGGTGATATTTGCAAGCAGACTATCATTACTCTTATACTATTGCATGAAAAACCCTGTAGTGTGTGCTTTCAGGAGGGAATTTGTTAAAAACAGCCTCAAACACTTTACCGATACATGCAGTTATTTTTTTCTCTTTCAGTGTTCCATCTGAATAGAAAATAATGTATCTGCTGTTTTGTTTCGTGCTCGCTATAATTCATGCATGCACCAGTTGTCCAAGGCTGCCAGGATTGCATTTCTGCTTAAAATTGATTTACTTCTATACAGGGCAAAATTGGCATAGTTTACATGGTAAATTCTTTCCCAGGAACGAGCTCTAATAGTTGTCATTTTTCTGCTCTGCCATACTGAAAATTGAAACTGTGCAATAATTGCTATGGGTTTTCTTCTCCTGCAGCACAGTGTAAACCAACATATTGTGATGTTTATGTCTGTGTCAGTGTTGAATGCTGAGTTTCACATTTTCTTTTTATTACTATTTTAAAAAACTAAAAAAAAAACCAGTGTCATCAAAATGGTTGTTTATGATGGCAAAAATAACTGGTCTTAAGTGGCCTCCTGCATTCAACACAGAAGAAATTGATCTCGGAAGTATAAACAAACATATACTTCCCAGATCAATTTCTCCAGCATCTAGGTGTACCTGCTTTTCCATGCATTGACATGTGTTTACATGCATTTACACACTTTTTCATGCATTTAGCTATAGAAAACCAGGATAAACAGTTCTTGGATGCACAGATTTCTTGACAAGGCATATTTTTTATACAGTTTTTTCCAAATTGCTTGCTCACTGCATTTTGATGTGACTGTTGAAGGTTACTTTTTATGGCTTTCCCTGCCATGATCTGATGTGGTAGCAGGAGGATCTACAGGAGAGGGACTGTGCTGAAGTGGATAAATCATTTGAACATGGGTATCACTTCTGAACTTTATGCATTTGATTATGGCCATATGGTTCTTTTGCAAGATTTTCTGTAGAATCACAGTCCCTTAAGCAAACCCTGATTTGTTGCAAGAGTTCTTTGAGCTTTTCAGGGTTTGTTCCAGAACCTGATGCATTTCCTGTGGCAGCTTTAAGACAATTGGCTTCACACCTTGAGAGGTGTTTAGATAGCTGAGGTCTAGTAGGTAAGGTCTTAGCAAGTTTTAGCTCAAGCAAAAACTCACTTAGTTTTAAAATGTCTAATTATGCTTATTAGATATCTTAGAAAGTCTTACAACCTTTTCAACAGAGCATCTTCTATAACTTCTGGACTACTATAGCTTTGCTGGAGACCTGCAGCCAGGTTACCAACATGAACAGCTCTTAGTCTCTAAACATGTTCTGAGGATTGTGGGCCACTTTATCAACATGCTGAGTACTTCAACAGGAGGGATGCTAAGGTCACTAATGGCAGCTTTCAAGACTTAAACTCTCTGTAGTTCTCAGGCCAGTCATCGAACCTTGTGAGCACAGTGCTTATGAGTGCATGGCATACCATGTATTGAGGAAAGTCTGAAATATCAGAGCATGTTGTCTTGTATGGAGTATGGAGTAGCAAAGGCATTTATATTTTGAACAGATTCATTGCTATGACAGGATGAGACATACAGGGTAATTCACAAAATAGTGGAGAGTTTGGAGAAGGCAGAAGAAGTGAACAGTCTAGGTCAAAATAGTTCTCCAATTCAGCACACTTTCCAGTTCAGCTATGTTGTCCTAGATTGTTCACGTCTCCTATTAACACTGTTAACGTTGCTGTCAGGAGGCAGAACACCAACCTGATGAGGTGGTAATAGTTTGGCTTGGGTGCTAACGCCTGCATTGATAGCCCTTGGCTCTGTAGTCTGCAACTCAAATGAGCTGGTATAGTATGAGGGGGGTAGAGAGAACAACATCGATGAGTATTCACAGTGGTCTTGGGAGGATGACGCTCCCAAGAAACGTTGGCGTCATCAGGAGCATCAGACTTAACTCCAAATCTGGTGTTTTGAGTTAAGACATTCTCCTTTAGAGATTTTTTTTGTGTTTGCCAGACTGTCACTGTCTAATTCACTTGCAGTAACAGCTTGCTCTAAAATTCTTAACATCACTTCTGCTGTAGCTTGGTGACATTTCCTTTGTAGGGCCTCCATTTCTGCTCTTTTATGGGCAGCCTGTGCTTAAAGTGACCAAACTCAGAAGTGAAATCTTAAAAATGCATTCAAGTACCCTGTTAACAATACTGTATCTTATTTGTGTATCACTCAGCTGCAGATCCTCAAATCATCTCTGAATTTGTGCTGACACTGTCCTTCCTTCTGGAGGGTGGCTACTTTTGTTCCCCATGGTCCCTGTGTGTGTTGTAAAGTAGCCACCATTCCAGACTCCCTCCCGTCATGGACTACAATCTCATGTTTAGTTAGCTAATTTGTATTGAAGTTATCATCACAGGAGTAAGCTTGGAGCAGTGCATGTGTTAATCTTTGCAGTAATTGAACCTGCCGCCAGAACTACTACAAGGCATTACTGTTCATAAGGATGGAGTTAGATTATTTACTTACTATAATTTTAGATTATAAAAGACTGTCTGCTCAACATTTATAAAAACAATTGTATCTCAATATTTCTTTTTGTAACCAATCAGTATTGCCTGAACATTGTCTGCTCAACATTTGCCTGAACAACACCTGAACAACGCCAGTCACCACTAGGACACATAGAAAACGATTGTTTTCTATGTTCCCCGTTTACATCACAACGCAGGTGTAATGTGTGCTGTGGTGGGCAGCACATCGGATGCCACCAGCGGTCGCTGCACTACAGTGTAATATAAAGTGTTGTTGTATGGAGACATGAATAGAGTGTACCCTTTGTACATGCCAAGTAAAGTTTAGAAACATTAAACAGTGCCTCACTGCTGTCACCTAGTGGACACTAGCTGCATGATAACATACCATGTTTTTCTAAGCAGCTAATGTAAATGAGCCCTTATTGTTTTTTCGGCTGTATTAATATTTTTTTTGGTTCTTTATTTGGCTTTATTCTGTTTAATAAAAGGTCTTTTGTAAAAAAAAAAAAAAAAAAGGCAACATGAAACGTGCTCAAGATTTTAGTCTGTTAAAGCTGGAGTCCAATATTTTAAAAGAAAACTGCACTACAAGGGTTAAATGCTTGTTAAGTCTAGGGCTAGAGGAGTAAGGTGTAATGCTTGTTTCTTGTTCTGGCGCAATTCTCTTCTCTGTGATACTGCGGGTTATTGGCGGGCACACACCATTCTTAAATTCAATGCAGTATAGTGACCCTGAAGTATACTTGATAACATCAGCGTACAACTGCCAGGTTGAACATCTTAGAGAAGATGCTTGGGGGACCGGTTACACAGATGGAGGCAGCATTACACTTTAACACCTTATTTATCTTTCCTTAGACTTGATAAGTATTTAACCTTTGCAGTTTGGGGGCCCCCGCTGCTTAGGTCGTATTTTCTTTTCTAATCTGAAAGTTCATCTTTAACTTTTAAGTGCATATTTATCATTATTTATGGTACTTACCTTGCATATTACAGAAGACTGCATCCATTTTTCAATTCACTGCTTTCTGAACATGAACTGGCTCAGAATAAAAAGTATTTTTAGAAAGAATTTCTCTTTAATTAAAATGTTGTATTTTGTGAATCAGACCTGTAGGAAAAGAGAAGGAATGAATGTTGAAATTGGTGGATGGATGGTTAGGAGACTGTATGAATGGAGGCAGGAAAGGATTCATGGAGAGTAAGTGGTAAGACTAGAAAGTGAACCTAGATTCATGCAACTTTATTTTTCAAAAAGTGCAAAGCAAGTAATTTGTGAATGATATAGCCCTTACTGTACATTGGGCATTCTGCTTCTACTTTTTTGCCAAGGCCCATTTTGCCATCCATTATGCCACAATGTTTTGCTGGGCAGGGCTTCCTGTTCATAGACATAACCGTCTGATGACACCATCAAAGTAAACCAGTAATCTGTTTACACTGGAAAGGTTGTGCTGCATTGGGGCACACAGTGATTATCACAGGAATGGGGATGGCGTATTTAACATGGAAACCTGCACAGTGAGTGAGGGAGAATTAAGGAATTAAGTAAGGCAAACTTTCAATAAAAGTGGATTTATCCTTTAAGTCATCTGCCTTTGCTCTAGTGACACCTTCACTGGATAAAATGTTTGTGCAAAAGATTTATTCTCAATTAGAATGCAAGTCAGAATATCAAAGAAACATTATGATCTTTACCTAATTCCTGTCTAAAATAGTGGGTATACCTAGCAATGTAGCAAATGCAGGTGTTGCAACTAATTTTTTTCAGCTTAAATGTTGTCGTCCCCCGCTTCATTTTCAAAAAATTGGCATGCATATAAACAGCACATGAAATAAAGGCACAAAGTTGAATGTGGAAATTTAGAATGAAAAATTAGAAAAATGATTTTGTGCTGCTTTTGCTAACTTACACTTTATATTTCCATTTGTATTACAGATTGGCAGATTGCAACCCTCGCTTTGCTACTAGGTGGTGCAGCCATCATTCTCATTGCATTCCTTGTCGGTCTAATTTCCATATGTGTGGGATCTCGCCGGCGGTTCTACAGGCCTGTGGCAGTTATGTTGTTTGCAGCAGGTAACTTGCATAACATGCAGTCTTATTTATGATATGTGCAAGAGTAATAATGTAAAGAACAATTTGTAAATAGTGTTATGGTCTAAGGCACCGTTTCCAAAACTTGTAAGTAGGGCTTCTATCCTATCTGGTCCTGAATTTACTAGTCAAAGAAAATGCACCCTTTTAAGTAGAGTTGTAGTGAATGGTTTAATCCAAAGCAATGTTTAGGTCTGATAAGACAGATTCATGGATGGATTTAACATCCCACCAGTTAGGCTAAATAGTTTGTGTTATTATTGGGTTAGTTAAACTGTATCTACAACCAAAACATTTCTTATAGTTTTAGATAGAGTGGTGAGGGGTTAATACCTCTGGTATGTTTTTATTACCATTTGTGTCCCCATTAGGGAAACACACTACTTCTGTTTATCATGGTGACCACCATCTCCAGGACTAAAAGTATGGGAAAAAACAAACATTTTGAGTTACCACCAGATTAGGTACAGGTACAGAGGGGAAATTTCCCAGCGGGGACACTTGTTCTAATGACAACTGGTTCAGTGGGGATTTCCCTCACATTGGAGAAATTTGCTCCACAGGACAGGAAGTAAGGGGAAATCTCCCCAGAGGGTCATACTGTACATAGGAAATAAAAAAAATACTTTAAATACTCAGGTGATGATGTAACCATGTATGTAATATGATTATGTTCATAACACTTTTACATAGGCGTTTACCCCAAAGAATCATCCCAGACAGGAACTGGCGTTTACCCCTTTGCCAGTTCCTGTCTGGGATGTGGTTTTATTTGTTTTGAAATGTAAAAATATACAGAGACAAAATAAAAATACAAGGGGTAAAGTGATATTACATTCAATAGATATTTAAGCTATTTTAAATGCTGAATAAATCACGTGCGATGGATGCTGCTTAAAAGGCTTAGTTTCCTGCAGAGTTAGCTGGTCCCCTGGACACTGGCCCTGATATCCTGTTTTAGGGGGATTCCTTTCCCTTGCAGGGTCCTATGGAGCCACCCTTGTGTGTGCTATTAAGCTGTGTTTGTCTTCACAAAACACACAGGCACAGCAAGGCAAGACCCCCCCCCCCCCCCCCTCCCTTTTTCCTCCCTCTTC